AGGAAGAATATATTTTTATTTGATCAACAATTTACTTGTGCAAAGTACGTGTGTTAGTATTACATGGGGGTACGATGTGGTCTAAGGGAGCTTGCAGTATTTTGAGGAAGAAGGGTGTATATATAAAAGATAAATAGCTTTATTTCCTCTCCCTACCCCCACCCCCTCATTTTTCCTGTCTCTCAAGATGCAAGAAGCCTTGGGGGCATGACAGGAAGACTGCCAGTCTCAGTCTTTTGCAGAAGAGTTTCTAAAATTCCACTTAGTCTTTTTTTCCCCCTAACAATGTGACTTGAAATATGGTAAAATCAAATATCATCATAGTTGGGAGTGTCACTGGTCCCTAGTTTACAGCCAGGGTTTCTGTGGTGTGTCAGATAATTAAAGGATTTCCAAGTCTCAACTCACCAGAAAAAACATGCAACCATGCAAAGTCCTGCAAGGGGCACGAGGTTTATAATGGCCTTGCCAAGGAAATTCCAAATCAAAACAAACCATCCCCATTGTGCACTTGAGAAGAGAAGAGACCAATTGGAAGGCAGAAGGCAGAAGGCAGAAAGATCCTGCAGATGGACTCTAGCTCCTGCTGTCTGGTCCCCATGGCACGGAAATTCTCCAGCCCGTGGCAGGAGGCAAATGCAAGGAAGTCTTAGGTAAAGTTCAGCACTCATTAGTTATGGGGGAAAGGTTTTGATATATTTAAAAAGGCAAAAAAAAAAAAAAAAGCTGACCTCAAAGCAGAGTACATTTGAAGTGATAACTCACCCTTGCATATTTTTCAGTATGGTAAATTTTCAGCAAGAAGTGCTTATGTGTATATCTGATATGGAGTGGGGCCAGGCTGATCTGGGGTGCAGTGAATTCAGGAGTTAAGCTCAGAGGCAGAAGTATCCATCCCCATCACTTAAGACCTGGACCTCCTGGTGCCAGATGTCGCAGGGAACGATGGGGCTTAGGAGCTCCTTCAGGTTTCCTCAAGGTAGATGGTTAAAGGCTGTTACTTGGAATTTTTAAATTCAAGGTTAAATTTTAATATGAGGATCAAGGATACCAGATGACAATGTTAGATGTTAGCTCTATTTTTGTTTTAGATAAGATGTTGCACAATAGTGCTTCCATTTGGGTAACAGCAGAATTGAGCCTTTTGTAATGTACTGCAGAGTTAACATCTAGGGGTGATTTCAGAAGTTCTGTGTAGGAGAGGTTTAGGGACAGCAGTTTGATATGAAGGGGTTGCTGAGTGGACTCATCTTGAAGCTGTGTTTGCATTAAAAAATTTCTGCTGTTTACAATTAAATTACATTAAAAATAGTATCAGTCTGAAGATTTTAGAGCCCTCTTTTAATTTTTTGGATTATTATGTCCATGGGTGAGGATGGAGATTGTAGGGTGCTGGTGGCTACATCCTACCCTTGGCATAGTTGCTGACAGCGTCCCACAAAGGTTGGCAAATCTGTTAAAGATATTACTTCTCTGAAGTACAGGGCATTTTGTCCCATTACATTATGCCTATATCATGTTATGCCTTTAGAGTGTCACAGAAGAACTGAGTTCTGAAATCCTGTATAAATGATCAGTTCACTGAAGGTGGTATTCACAGCAAACAGAGAGCACATATAAACAGATTTTCCTCCAATAGTCTTCTTGAAAATCTCCCTTGGTGTTGGGGGTTAGGGGCGATCACTAATGCAGAGGACTTGAGAGGTGTTGAAAATAAATGAAGGATGCAGAGGATATTATTTTCTAAAAAAGGATTTGCCAGAAGCCTCCTTATTTGAACAATAACATGACTGCACCAAGCTCACTAATCATGCTCTAAACCTGGGTCTTCCCTAGTTTTCTCAGTGTTGTGCCAAGCAAGACAGTTAATTCGCACAGAGCATATTACCACGTTTGACAAAGGCATTATCCTCTATGAAAGACACTGCCTGGAGCTGGAGGGGTGGCCATTCACCCTACAAGCTGTGGCCCTTGCAGGGGATGCCTGGGGAGAATGTGGGCACAGCTTTTCACAGCTGCTACAATCCAGCTTGAGTCAAACACTGTGCAACCACCTTTTGCTTTTGGTACAGATATTTGTTTTCCAACTGAGTCTAGATATTGGTTTTGTAAAAGGAAAAGAGAATATATATATTTATAGGTATTAATAGGTATTTGCATGTGTAGGTACATTTATCATGGTTGAGTAAGCATCAAATTTTACAAAAATATCTCCCTCTATAAGCCTCATTTTAAGCATACTGATGACATGGAAATATTCAGAGATTAAATTGCCCGTGACTTTAAGGCTCAAAGAAAATAACTGAATAAATTGGACAACTGAATTTCAAATTGGATCATAGAAATTACAAATATTTGCAAAGAATGAACTTTCACAGTATCGTTTCAGGGTTCTGGATTCCTTGAGAAAGTAAGACAGCTTCTTTGTGGCTGTGAAGGTCTGATTTTCATTGTGTCACCCTTTGTATTTTCTTGCTTTCAACTCCTTGCTTCGCCTGAAAATTTATATGATTTTATTAATATTAAAGGAAAGCTATAATTCTAGAAATTGAAATTGAAGAATGAGGGATAGCATTATGTCTGCTGGGCTTGAGATGAGCATTTAAAGCATAATTTGAAATACAATTATATTGTGTGTATTTATGTATGTATATATATCTAACATGTTACATCTCTGTATCTATTATCTATCTATCATCTATCTATTGTCTATTATTGTCATCTAATCTATTTCAATGGTGTGCTGAAGCCAGCTTATACTGGTTCATGAGAGTTGACAGATCAATTTTCAGGAGTTTTGCAAGCTGCTTAGGGTTATATTGGTAGCTTGAAAATGGCCATGGCAAGCCTATTTAAATCATGGAAATTGGCAAATTATACAAATCAGGGATTTTTTTTCCTCCTGAAGAGCCAGTTGTTGAATAATTTACCAATATACCATTCTAAGTTTGGTCTGGAAAGGGATTTCATACATATTTTAGTTCACAATGGAAGACATAATCAACTTTGTAAAATACCAAAGTTAAAAAGTTTTTGGCATAAACTCATATTCTTAAATAGCACTCACTTTTCTTATTAAGTGCTTTAGAATAAAATGATAGTTTAGTATATTTCTTAATCGTTGATTATGTTTTAGAACATTTGTACTGTTGATTTATTATTTTAATCAAAACTTCCACATTTCTTTTAGATAGTTGCAGAACTGTGTACTAAAGTTAAATATTAATGAAAATGAATGAATGAATTAATGAAAATGGATGAATCAAATTTTTCTTGTTGGTGTAGCTTTTGTGTTTATTTTTTTGTCATTTTTGTCAAACCCTGTCATTTGGTATTATTGAGGTATTTCGTATTTGATTTGTGTTTGTCCATTCGTGTGTGTGTACATGTGTGTTTACACACACATACAGATGCTCACACATAAAGCTCAACAAATAATAGTATTAGGGAAAAGGGATATCTGGTTCATTAAACATTCTATTTGAAAACTGGGAACAACTTATGTTAAAAACTGTGCCAGGCTTATAAGTAGCTATTTGATCTGTCCGAATGGTTCTTCTTGTCTTTTCTGACAAGTTCAAAATGCCATTGTTTCCATCTTTCCCCTCTGGGTTAATATCGTATTAGGTTGAAATGTGCACATTCCTGCTTCAGCGAATGCTTTGCCTAGCAGTCATAGAGACCAAGTGTGAATTTAAGTTTACCTGGTCGATTTACTTCTAAGAATGTGCTGAGATTGGAGCTGAGCTGCCGAGCAGGCTGTGCAATGCAGTGACTCTGAATAAGAGAGACCTGAGTTCTGTTGGGCAAAGAAAGAACAGGTGGGAAGAATGATTTCTGAACCTGGAGATAGTTAGTGGGAATGAAGGAAACTCCCGAAGTGGATATTTCTGAACAATGACCAGCAGGAGGATATCAAATCTCTGGAAAGTTTGAGGTTTTCTTCTAGTATTGATGACCTCGGCACTTCCCAGGTGCATGACTTTGATCGTCAGATCTTAGACATAGATGTGGAGAGCCACAAGGAAGGCCGACTCTGAGTCGGCCTTGGAAATTCCTTGGAAATTAGTTTTAAAAATTAAACCTATGTCATTTAAGTTCTCCCTTGATTTGATGCTTTTTGAGAATAGGAGAGTCCAGGACTTTCGGGATAAGTTGCTGGACAGGTAGGTGCTGGTCTTGTGATGGTCAGCCCGGTGGAGAGATGGAGTTGTTACAGAAGTATCAGCAAATTTTACAGCAGTAGTTCACACATGCGGCTATAATACATTCATCCACTGTTATTTTCCTAAGAAACGGAGCAACCTACGAGCTTATGCTGCAGTAGAGTCCAATGCACCATAATGATCACTTCAGGAGCAAAGAAGCTCATACAGAGGTGTGATATCTTTCTGTTGGTGCAAGTTCCAACCTAAGATTCTTTAAAATACATTTCCAGAGTTCTATTTAAATATGGATATGCCACACTAAAAAAGCAGTGGCTTCTTGGTAAAATGCAATACTGAAATGGAATACTGACTTTCATAAAAATAAGAAATGTGTTTGGAAATTTAAATACCTTTTAAAAAATTAAAAACAAACATACTCTCACAGCTTGAGGGTTTAAATGAACCATGTGCCAAGGAGTTGAGAAAGCTCCTACTTTGGGTTACATCCTGGGACTCCTAACGTTCAAAAGCCGCCCAGCTGGGCATTTCCGTGGCATCTGCATGTTCCATTCAGAAGCCATCTTAGCATATCCCGCACACAACATGGCTTTTCATGACAAATCACTGGTATGCCCCACAAAACTGCTGTGAAGTGTTGTTTTCAGCATAAAAGTTTTGAGTTTTAGGGCTCATGTCAAAATTAAGCATGTTCTGTGAAAGCTTAAATTAATCCTTTCAGTGAGTTGCCTTTAAACAAGTCTATCTTCGTTTTCCATCAGCTCGATTGTTTCTAAACACTTTGAAAACAAAAAACAAAAAACTTTCCAAGTACAGAACCAAAGACAAAGATGCTGAATGCATTCTCTGTGACCTAATTCTATTTTCAGTCCATGTTTTATATATACTCTATCCAGGAAAATTTTCTCATTTAAATAGGGAGAAGTGATCTTTTTCAGTTAATTTCTTTCTTGTCATTTACAAATGTTGACTATCATGCTGAATGTAGATATCCATCAGGAATCAATGGAGAAAGTTTAATTTATCGATGATCATAAAAATCTTTTTATGCATTCCTTAAATACTCTGGATGCTGATTTAATATATAAACATATTTGTACAAGTTATTCTTCATCTTCAAAGCACTTTGTAATTTTACTTAAATAACACAAATGAGTAATTATTTAAAAATATTTTTCATCATTTTACAAAATATATCTTTATGGTATTGTTTTTGGATCTTCCTTGAGCTGTCATTTTCCAAATGATTAATCCCTGATGGATTACATAAAGTTATGTGACTATGTCTGTAACTGTAATAATAAATTTCTTGTCACATATTTGAGGCAAACCTGAGGATAGATCATCGAATAACTGTTATTTTTTTCCTCCTGTAAAATATGTCATTTCTCCATTTTCTTCTTTAGTGGTCTTTTGAAGAATCCAATCTGTTGAGAAAATACCAAACATAACACAATTAATTATTTGAATTTAGATAATAAATACTAATTTCCTTGGATAAAATTTAATACTATGTTAGTGATTCTGGGCATTCAAATAATTAATATAATTGAGATTTTTTTTCATTGACCTATTAAGTAATTTTGACTGTCAAGAAATGACATTTATCAAATTGCTATTTCATTTTAAACTTTTTGTTTGTTAAATATATCATGTCTCCTAGTAAAAACTAGTACATGTGGTTTTTACTAGTACTAGGGAAAATATTTGGAAAGACATATAAACTACAGTTAGCTGGCATTAAATGGCACTTTGCCATCATCTTTTTTCTCAGGGATGTGGCAGAGAAATTCCATCAAATAACTGATGGTCACAAAGTGAGGTCATTAGAGCTGGGGGAGGGAATCTGGCACATGCACCATGGCTGAGGGTGGGGGAGATTTGAGTTGTCTGGATTAACTTTAAATGTGTTAGAACATCTGCCTTTATAGGCTTGACAGGAAGTGCCTCTTGAAAACATGCTGTATCATTTGGATATGAAAAGGAACTCATTGAACATAGAAGAAATTTCACAAAGGGGTGAATGTGGGTTACTTTTCATTATACTTTGTAATTTGGGTCATTATAAAAATTATAAGTGCTTTATTTATTTCCTGTTGTACATTATAATAAAAATAAGTATAGGGGCTGGAAGGGACCTTTGTAATAATCTCATCTAAAATGTGGGTATTTTAAATAAAAGGAAATTAAGCATCCTAGAGAAGTGTTTTTTTTAAGTCCATGTATTTTTTTTTTTTATTTGAGAGTGGATTATAATAGTACAAGCAGACAATGAGTTAATTCTTTGAAAGTATAGTACCTCCATATCATTTTAATAATGAAGTTATGGTGAATTATGCAAGAGAATGGTATATTTTCAAAAAATCATTATTGAATAATTGAGAGCTTAGATGGGATAAATGGTCAAAATGCAGTTTTAAGTTAGAGAAGGTAACTTCTTTATGTCTTTCACCATGACAGGGCTTTATGTCTTCCATCATGTCAGAACCTAGTTGGTGGTAGATGAGGAAAAGGTGACAACAGAGAAATAAACGTGAAAAAACAATAAATTTGTCCTGCTTCGAGTGGCAGTTCTGCGTCTCAGGGTTTTTTCTTTGAGCCAACAATAAAAGTTCTGGATCCACAAACTATCAAGTCTCCTTACCTTGTGCCTGCAGGTCCCAAGTTGAAAATAAATCCAACAAGGCTTTCACAGGAGCAGGTGGTGAATGCAAGACTTTTCCCTCTCCTGTCCTGCCCTGCTCTCTCTCTCTCTTGTCCTTTCCGTCTCAAGTCTTTCTGCATCTTTTCAACCTTCCTTTGCTTTCACATACTAAATGTTCTATTTTATTTTATTTTTTATTTTTAAGATTTATTTATTTGAGAGAGAGCGAGAGCAAGCGAGTAGTAGGGGTGGGGGAGAGGGGCAGGGGGAGGGGGAGAGAGAGAATCCCAAGCAGATTCCCTGCTGAGCATGGAGTCCCATGCATGGCTCCAACTCATAACCCTGAGATCATGACCTAAGCTGAAATCAAGAGTTGGGCACTCAACCAACTGAGCCACTAAGTGCTCTATTTTAAAACTAAATTGTGTTATCTGAACTTTTCCACTCAACTAATTCTATTAACATGGTTTGTTAGTGGAAGTTGGGTCATAAGAATGCAGGCTAGGTGAATGCAGTACATAGCTTCAAACTGGCTGGGGCCAATACTAGCTAAAATTAAAAACCTGTTAAGTTTGTTTTCAGTGCCCAGACTAACAACTTTCACTTTCCTTCTTTGCCTTTCCATATTTACTTATCAGTAAGTGCTAGATCTTATTTATGCTTATCCTTAGTTCAAAACCCTATGGCAAAGGGTCAGATTCAACAGTACCTGGTAGAAATCACGGGCTTACTGACTATAATATGGAATAAATGTTGAATGAATAAATTTAACTAATGTATAAAAGACTAAAAAATGGTGGCGCTATTCCCCGTCCACATCCACCAAGGATATGTATATTGGATGATGAATAAAGCTTTCGGATTAGTAAATAAATCGTCAGTGATGGAACTTCAGCCATCAGTATGAAATCAAGTTAAGAGAGAAAAACGTTCTGCTTTCTTAGGGCTTCTCTGTGGGCTGAGTCTCACTTCAATCTATTCAATTATTTTGGCCTGACTGGGCTTCTCCCTCAATGTGAGGTACTATATTCCAGAACGTGTTTCTCAATCTATTTAAAACTGTGCCCCCTAAAAGCCTTCTCTCTTCAATATTAAGTATGACAAGGGACGCCTGGGTGGCTCAGTCATTAAGCGTCTGCCTTCGGCTCAGGTCATGATCCCAGGGTTCTGGGATCGAGTCCCGCATTGGGCTCTCTGCTAGGCGGGAAGCCTGCGTCTCCCTCTCCCAATGCCCCTGCTTGTGTTCCTGCTCTCGCTATCTCTCTCTCTGTCAAATAAAAAAATAAAATATTTAAAAAATAAAAAAATATTAAGTATAACAAGCTACTACTAAGATTTTGAAAAACTTTAATTTCTACCACGTGTACTGCAAGGATAAATTATATAAAGACAGCACTTTTTGAAATAGAGTCACAGCTCCAGGAAGAATCTTTGGCCTGTTCCCTGTATGGACCCCGGGAGTTCCAATGAATTTCCAGAGTGGTCAGATTTGTTGTTGTTGTTGTTTTTTTAATTTTTAATTTTTTATTTATTTGAGAGAGAGATAGTGAGAGAGAGAGAGAGCACGAGCAGGGGAGGAGGGAGAAGCAGGCTCCCCATCCATCAGGGAGCCTGATGTGGGGCTCAATCCCCGATGCGGGGCTTGATCCCAGGACCCTGGGATCATGACCTGAGCCGAAAGCAGACGCTTAACTGACTGAGCCACCCAGGTGCCCCAGAGTGGTCAGATTTGGAAGACGGAGGAAGAAGGGATAGTCCTGAAGTTTCTGCTCCAGGTCTAGTAAATGTAAAAAAAAGTCCCTGGGTAGCTCTTCTGAGTCTTCTGCAGACCAAATACATGCTTCAGGAAAGTTCCACATGGCTTTAAGCAGGAGGAGGGGCAATTAATCTTTGTAGTATAATGGAGTTGCCGAAAGTCCGAATCCAACCAGGGACTCTCATTCCAAAACAAAATATTTTTATACATTTCAGAGAGTTCATGACCCTCCTGAACAAAACCCAATTCCTGGAGCTCCAGAATAAAGAGCCCTGCCTAGAGGCTTCTAGCAGTGAGAGATACTGGAAAAGGATGGGCTTTGCTGATAGAGCTTTGCTTGCATTCAGTCCTTTACTAGCTGGTAATCTTGGGAGAGTTATTTAACTTCTCTTTGCTTTAATGTCCTCAAATATAACAGGTAGTTAATATACTTTGTTGAAAAGGTTGTAAACACAACAGAGTGAATAAAAGCAAGAGGGAACACAAAGCAAGGGGTTAACAGTGTTGGCAAGGAAGTAAAATGGTCCGGATTTAGGTCCTTACTCTGAATCTGATAAACCATGTGGCCTTGGGGAACATATTTAACTCTTGTACGTCCCAGCATCTCATTAATAAAATGAGGTTCATAGTCATGTCTTTCTCAGAGGGCTGATGTTAACATTAAAGTGGAAAAGTTTAAAACAGTTCCTGGCATGTTGAAAGCATTCAGTATGTCCTAATTCTCTTCCCTCCCTAATTCTCTTCTCTTCCCCCTCCCTGTGGAGTCGCGGATCTGATCACTGGATCTCCCACTGAAGTGGTTGAACTAACTGCACCTACTGGTCAGAACAGTCCAAAGGTTGCTAAATGACCTTCCTTCCTGGGCCTAAAGAGATCCAAGAAGCCAGCAGAACATATCAACAAAACATTTACTGGATGGAAGAATGTGTTTATTTTTACCTTTATTCGTCTTCAGACTGGTGGCCAAAAAAACTAGATGAATAAAACTTAATTGTTTTAAGCAGAGATACGCCACCAGAGAAAATCTATCCAAATATCAGCTCTGGCTTTCCTTTTCTCTTGTCAGCTGTCTCCTAAAACTACATGGGCAAGTGCAGTGCTCAGAATAGAAAAGCACACTGAAAGAAATCCGTAAAATGCTCTCTGGAATAGAGGCGCATAGAAGTGAAGAAACCACAATCTTCGTTTCAAGCACAACCTCTAAGACAGGTCTTGGGGACCACGGTGTGGCAAAGCCAGGTATTACAAAGCACTGATAACCCTGCAATGTAGAAGGAGCTGCAGGTTTGAGAAAGCCAGGAATTCTTAGAGACTTCGCTAGAGAAAAGCTATGGTTTCTATTTACTGAACTAAATGATACTGACCTACACCTTTAACATGGCTTTGTTTATCATCCTCTCTGAGTGCAATCCCCCCAAAAGAGGAAGTTAGGCATTGTAAGCGAGTCAAAAGGGTAGAACTGTTGGCAATTTGGTGGGACAGAAATTTATTATTTAAACTATTTGATTAAAGAGAATTCTGCTGCTCAGGTATTAGAAAAAAATGAATATGTAACCACAACCTGTATTTTTTAACAGAGTTTAGCTATTTAATAAAGCAATTTGGTAAAATATAGGGTGGTATAATGTTAGAATGAATACCAATTTGATGTTTCATTGGAAAAAAACATTAAATTCAACTTTTCGATAGGATTTTGTTCTCTATTAAATTTAGTGTAAATTCTATCATCTCAGTTCTGCTTAATTTGAAAGTGATACAGATAAGAATTTGAAAAATCTCACACACCTCAGTATAAGCAAAATATCTATGTAAATATATGGATTTATCCAATAGAAATAGTTTTACAAGAGGATTTGAAATAGGAATCAGTAAAACAGTAAGATTTCTCTTTCATCAACTAAGTAATAAATTTATCCTCTCTCACTCAGGCACACAACTATTGCATAAAATGTGGCATATTTCTTCATATATTAAAGAAATCTTAGTTTTTAAGATACATAGAGATATGTATTTGGACAAGGCTCATCTTAACCATTCTATTGTTTATATATTCTTAAATTGATATAAGAACTCATTTTGTTCTTTTTTTATAAAAGAGAGTTTTCATTCTTCTTTATTTATAAAAGTAATGCATACTTCATTTACAATTCTCAATGTTATAGACATATAAAGGTCTTTTACAATCCCAATCTCTAGAGAGATCCATCATGGTTTTTGGATTTGTTTATTTACTTTTTCTTTTACAAAACTGGGATCAGGTTGTACACAACGTTTGGGAAATACATTTTTTTCTTTTGTCTTGGTCATCATCTCAATATTTTTAATGGTTATATAATACCATATTACACAGCATGGATAAATAATAATTTATTTCACCAATTTGCTGTTGATAGTTGAAATAGAAAGTCAAAGGAACTTTGGTGCTTACCTTCCACAGTGCTAATATGAGCAGCATTAATAGCAATAATCCAGCAAAAGCACTCAATAGGATGACCCATAATGGCACTCTGCCCGGCAGTCCATCTTTGGATACTTGAATAGCAAACTGAAATTTATTAAACGAGACTGTTAACATTGATAAACACCTGTTATAACTCTTGGTACATTGAGTTCTTGCAGGCTATAATTTTCTACCAAACAATGTACTTAATCTGATTACTACATACAGAGAAAACCTTGAGTTTACATTTAAAAATGTCCCTCATCTATTAAAAATCTCTAAGCATGTCAAATTTATTATTACCCAAAATATTTATAATCTTATGCTGTAGAAATGTACACGTAAAGAGTAAACTGTCCATCAATCAGAATGCTAGGGAGCAGAGGTGAATTTAACTCAGTGAGAACCAAAAGTATTACATATTTTAAGGATTTATTGATTGACTTTAGTGCATTATCATGATGGTAAAAGTTTAGGCTGGAGCGTTACCACAGGTTGTTGACATCATCAACCTGAGTAGGTCGTCTTCTAATTCTAATTTTCATGTGTTTTATTTTTTGTCTACAAATTTATATATAATTTTCATATGGTAAAACGCACAAATCTCAAGTGGACAGATAACATGAATTTTTGAACATATATTCACCCCTATGTATTTTTATCAGACTGCACTGTCCCTGCCAGTCGACTTCTCTTCAGTCTGTATATTAGGTCTTAACTGAAGGAAAACTTTGAGGTAAACAGCTGTTAGTGTCGCCGCTACTCAATGTGGCACCCAAACCGCAGCGAGACTTGTCTGCCCTGGGTCTCATCCCAAGGTTTCTGAGAAAAAACTAATTCAGTGTAGATCTCAACGATGAATGATAGCTCAAGTTTCTGTGTTTGCTTGTCACAGAGAACATCTCAATTCCTAAAGCTAGAGGGAAGACTGGAGGTAAAAAAGAGAACAGGGGAGATATTTACATATATTGGCTGCTGGTACAAACTCCTCAGATGGCGACGGGTGGGTCACTGCTGATGCTTTGGGGACACAGAGCTGGCATGAATGTACATATGTACAGAATAAGATCTTAGAAGACAGATTTCAAATGCATCTAAAACAATTCCCTGAACTGATAGATACAGAAGCTGAACTCTGGATGGGATCAATGACTTCTCTAAGATCACACAATTACAAAATGATCACTTCTAGAAATTTTAACGATGGGCGTATAATTTTCTTTTAGGCTAAGATGTTGAATAATAGTTCCATGGGGAATTTTAAGCTAACATTTAGGGGAAATAAAGCTAATTATAAAATTTCAACAAAACATATCCAGGAATCAAAAGTACTCTTTTCCAATATAATTTACACTCAGTTTTGGGGGGGCGGTGCTTACTGGTAAAATTTTGGCTTCTCTGCATGTGGAACAACTTTGCATTTATCAGTGTTCTTTATAATGTAAATAAACGTTATATGCATATGTTCTTTAAAGGTGAATACTTACCAGGGGTCATTGACACTGGAATTATTTGAGATAAGTATTAATTTGAAATAAGAAATTTTTAAACAACATCTGAATGTTGTGTAGCTTCCAAATAAAATTATATGACTCATACTATCCACATGGGACATTTAAACTCTCCCATGATAAGAGGAGAAATGCTTACATAGCCACATCAGTAATAAGTATTCTGGCCTTATTTTATAATAAAACAGGAGGAAAAACATCAAACCATTTTATTTTTACCAAGGACTAAAGTGTGAATTTGTATGAGGGAATATTTCATTTTTGCTTCAGATTTCCCAATGACTAAATGAAGAAAACCTTTCAAAATTTACATTTATTTCTGTACAGTGTACACTTTCTTTAAAGTGTTTTTCAAGTCTGCTCTTCCGATGTCAACTGCATTTTACAATGTAAGTTTTTAAGGAGGAAAATCACAAATGCATCATTTGTTATCAAGGTGAAAGTAAAAACACCAATTTATTGTGATAGTTACAAGCGGTAAAGTCAAACATGGCATGTTAATTGTAAATATCATGGTTTTTCCCAGTTTCTTACAAAGAATACTGAAATCACACTTGAAGCTAATTAAGTATAATTTGAAGCAAAAAGTATCTGTTACTTAGTGACTAGCTAGTCGCTGCTTTAGGTTCTATAAGCAATTATAAAACATTATGTCATAAAATTCAGAGTGAAATGTATGTTTTCAAGACTTAGAGTTGCTCTTACCTCTCTTTTTTGATTGCCAGTACTTAAAATCAGTGATGTATTTTCACTCTGAAGGTCTGCCCTTACAGTAAGATTTAAGCTGGAAAAACGTGCCTGAAAAGCAAACAGGATTTATTTTCAAAATATTATGCTAATCACAGTGAGAGCTAGTCATGTTTGAGTAGTGCAATTTTTAAAATACAGATTTTCCTGAGAGATTTAAAAACACTGGTTTTGTTAACATGCAAATGGAACTGGTGGTTTCAAATGATGACCCATCCCTCTTCTCTCCACTCAAATTGTCACTTAGGTCCTTGTTATAGAATGAAACAATTCTATATCATTTTCTCCAGATTTATCCTTAGCAAAAACAAATCTCAAACCCTGCCCCCCTTTCATATAGCTAGGTATGAAATAGCTACACTCTGGTAATGAAGTTTATATAGGAGTTTGTGCAGGATTAAACATGAAATTGCCAATATCTATCAGTTTGTGATTTATACAAATTGTAACTTAATATGATCGAACCTAAAAATTGGAAATTTCATATAATTAACTAAACACTTCTAAGAGAGAAAGAAACCATACAAAATACAATGGATTAAGTTTTAAAGTAGCTTGTTGTCAGACAGATTTGACTATTAGTAGTTAAAAAATGTCCTCCTATTTTATATATATATACATACATATGTGTGCATATATATATAGTATATATAAAGTGTATATATACGTAGTATATATAAATGTGTGTCATATATATACATATATATATATGTAAAGTCTAATCTAATACAGTTGAGTCCATAATACATGTTAGCTCTATTGTTAATGGTGTCAAGGAGTCAAGCACTGTCTCTCTATAATTCTTTGTCCCTTAACTGAGTTCTACAGCGTTAAGATAAATGCAAACTTTGATACTGCATAGGTGTTTATTTCCAGTGGTACAAAAAAAAAAAAAGAATAAGAGAGACTGAAAAAAAGTATACATCTGGAAGGAGACCTTGGAGATAACTTCATTACTAATAAGGAAAATGAGACCCAAATAGTTGGTTAAGTAGAGCTGGGGCTTGGACCACATTTTTTTACACTTCCAGTTCTTTCTACAGAAGCACTCTGCTTTGCATATACTAAGTAATGAGCAAATATTTGTTAACATAATTCAATAATTACAGAGAACAATGCAATCACTTACTTTTATAAAAGTTGGTTTCCATAAGATAAGTGAAACATTCACTTGGCTTATGTCAGAAGGAATCAAAGTACACGTAATAGTAGCAAATTTACACGTACTGCAGTCCTGTTTAAATGTTCAGAGGTATATATTAGTATCTTTGCCATTTGACAAAAAGATACCATATTAAAGTATTCTATAAGATAGCTATTTTTAGGTTGATATTGAATTTATTCACTTAAAAAGCATGAGATAAAACTAGCACTTGTCTTGGTTATCTGAATTTACCGGAATTGTGCCTCGTTTGAGATCTTCAGGTTTGGATATAATCGTTTTCTTCCCAGAGTTGACACCAAGAGGGTCCTGAAGTCTACTGGGTCTGCAGTTTGCATTCTAAGAAGTGAAAATATTTCTTTTATCAGACAATGCCAGGTGTCAGAAGGAAAAATGACTTGGTACAATAAGGTGAAGAATCTGCGTGACAGCCATTGTCACAGATGAAAGATCCATCTTCAGGAGTGTGCAACATGGAAGAAGCTGTTCTGTAGCATCCATATACCCCCACTCCCAGATGAAAATTACTGTTAGAATGCTACTTTTGAATTGTAATAGAGATCAGGGAGGTTGTTATCAAAAAGGAAGGATGTGGGGCGCCTGGGTGGCTCAGGCGTTGAGCGTCTGCCTTCGGCTCAGGTCATGATCCCAGGGTCCTGGGATCAAGCCCCGCATCCGGCTCTGTGCTCCGCAGGAAGCCTGCTTCTCCCTCTCCCACTCCCCCTGCTTGTGTTCCCTCTCTCGCTGTGTCTCTTTCTGTCAAATAAATAAATAAAATCTTTAAAGAAAACAAAACAAAAAGGAAGGATGCTAGTGGAACTTAATATTGCATAACATAACTCATTAATTTATTGTTTTCATCAAACATTAGTTGTAAATTCCCATAATACAGAGAGAGAAAAGAAATTAAAACTATACTGAAAAAAAAGGTTAGCATTTGTTTTTCATTATGTTGGCTCATACGATGGTTTGTGAAACAAACAAAAAAAAAAGAGAGGGGCTTTCATCTGTATTTGTGTATTCATCCAATAATATTTTAGGAGTCTCTAAACACCAAGGGTAAGATACTTGGTCTATGCGGAAAGAAGATGTAAGTAAGCAGCCCTATAAATGTTAAGATGTCATGTTTGTAAGACAGCTTGTTCTTGGATTGTTTTACTAGACTTACTCTAATAAGCCTTTCGTTCATCAAGACTCTCTACATCCTTGATAAAAGGTAATAAGGATAAAGTTCATAAGTAATAGGAAAAGTACAATTTTAGTCTTCCTACATCTTCACAAACCTGCTTTTTTGGATTAGAGAGAAATGGTAGAGGTTTAATATTTCCTTGACTTTAGGGAAACATTTAAAGATTATAATCCAACTATCTCTGTTTCTACTTCTTGATTTTTGAGAGTATTTTAACTTAAAAAAATCTCTGAAGACAGATTGTCAAATGCTGATAATAGGCATGCATTACTTCAACATTTATTGTGATTTTCTGTGTCTTAGAGACTGAACCATAACAATTTACCACACTGACTCATTCAAAGCTATAGGTACAAAGTGATGTTGCTATTGTTTGGGATAAGTGAGTAAAGAGTACCGTAATGTTTTATGTGCAGCTGTGTGTGCGCTTAGGAGCAATTAAAAAGTCTCTTTATAGAGCTGTTTGATCATCTCAAACAAATTAAAGCTGTAACAAACATTTTAAGGCACAAGTCAACAAGTAGTTATCTAAAATCTACTCCAGTGGATTGAATAGTATTCCAAAAAGACATGCCCAAGTCCTAGCACCTGGAACCTGTGAATGTGACCTTATGTGGAAAAAGGGTGATTTTGGGGCGCCTGGGTGGCTCAGTTGGCTAAGCATCTGCCTTCAGCTCAGGTCATGATCACCAGGTCCTGGGATCCAGCCCAGGGTGGCGCTCCCTGTTCAGTGGGAAGTCTGCTCCTCCCTCCGCCGCTCCCCCTGCTAGTGCTCTCTCTCTCTCTCCCTCCCTCTCAGAGAAATAAATAAAATCTTAAAAAAAAAAAAAAGGAAAAAGGAAACAGTGTCATTGCAGATGTAATTAAGGATCTCCAGATGAGGTCCTTCTGTTTAGGATGGGCTCTAAATTCACTGATGAGTGTGCTATAAGAGACAGAAGAGGCAAAGACCCAGAAACTCAAGGAAGACAGACACGCGAAGACCGAGGCAGAGACTGCAGGTATGCTGCCACAAGCTAAGGCATGCCAAAGGTTGACAGCAGCCTCCAGAAGCTAAGAGAGAGGTATGGAACAGATTCTCCCTGTGAGCCTCCACAGGGAACGAACATTGTTGACACCTTGATTGTAGACTCTGGCCTCCAGGACTGTGAAAGAATACATTTCTGTTGTTTCTAGCCACCCAGTTGGGGTAATTTATTACCACAGCAGTTGTAGGAAACTAATACATCTACTAAGTAGCCAGTGGAAATTATTATTATTATTTAAAATTTTCTAAATGCTTCTCCAGGTCACTTTGGTAAAGCTCTTTATCACAACTGGCATGCAGAACAAAAGGTTTTAAATACAAATTGAAAAAGATAATAATTATGATGTAATTCCAAGGCACACATTACTTACATTAGAAGACGACCATCCACTTGGGTATAGCACAGGATAACCATCTGATGTCAAGTTGGGAAACGAAATTGACAGTTTAAGTTCTGGCATTGGAAAATGTCCACTCTTTCTAATCTACAGGAAAGAAAAATAAAAATGTAACCTCTCTTCGTCTTCCAACAGCATCCTTTCTGTATTAGGTAGGACATCTGTTCTTAATTGATGAATTAAGTTGTGTAATATTTTGAATCTGAAAGTGAATGCAGGCAGTTTACAGCACTGGATAGAGAACTGGCATAATTAAACAAGCGAAAAATAGGGATGTTTAATAGTGGTCGTATGCATCAGCTATAACGTATATTGTTCCTTCATCCTCCCCCTCCCAAAATAGGACTGGGATTAAGGAAAATCAGAATTAAATTTCTTTATGCTCATCATCTTTTTGGACATACTGGTCTTTTTGGAGGTGGGAAGGAGGGAGAACATTTACTTGATCCACTCAGAACAGGTGAGCATATTTTGTTTGCCTCAACCAGCTTGCCATAACTCCTTAAACCCACAAATCATTTCTCAGCACAGCCACATGGGATCTGCCGCCACTGCACAGGCAAACCAGGTACCAATATGCTTCCCTTCACCATTTTATCTCCAACTAAGGCTACTGTGTCAATAATGATTGTTAATCCACTTGGATGAGAGTCACATCGATTCTCCTTTCAATGCCCATCTGTTTTTATCCACTGAACTACAATTTCCACTTAATATCACATCATGCCACCAATGGTGAGTGTAGCTCATAGGAAAGGAAAGCCAGGCAGGATGAAATTCAAATGCAGAGAGCTGAACTTGCTATGCAAAAGTCCTCACAAGTAGAAGAGGTGCAATGGAATTGGAGCAACCAAGTGCTATGGCCCTCCCTTCTTCCCACTCAAGCATAATCTCCAGGACCTACACCTTCTTCACACCCTCCCTAGGCTGAATTCTTAGGTGAGTAGGGAGCTCCTTAATCGACAGATGCCAGAAAATCCAACTGAGCTATCTAATTGAGCCTTCTGGACTGGGGGTTACACAGTAAGCAATTCCTTGTGTTTGCCTAAAACTAAATGCGTCCCTCAGTCTTGGAATTCTAGGAATTTCTGAACAGCTGTGCCTGGCTTCTTAATCATGCTCCTTGACTCTTGCCCCTTCTTGTTGTAACATGCCTTAAAATCGCCTGCCATGGCCTCCCACTCTAATTCCATCTGTTTTCTGCTAAAGAATAAAAAATCATGTAATCTGTAATTAACATTTATTTTTTTGATTAAAAACAATGTTATTTACAGAAACTTCGGAAAATATTGAAAATAAACAGGAAGTAAGTTTTCTACAATTCTACTACATTGGTAACACTTTAGTGTACAACTTACCTGTCTATCATATATGTATATATTATATACATGTATATTATAAAATTTGTATCGTATAAAATACAAGATTTGGCACCCCACTTATAAAATGTATTGTCATGGTGTTTTCCCATAAACTTAGAGATTCTTTGAGAATATGACTTTCATTGGCTGCTTAATAACAACCACAATATCAATATTTATTTATGTTCAACATTTATTTATATTCTAGACACTGTGCTAATTTCCTTACTTGCATCATTGCCTTTAACCCTGTTAACAGCCTTATGAGGTAGATTCTCTTAATATCCCTATTTTACCTATAAGGAAACAAGGTTATAATGAGAATGAAGAACTTCCAAAATCACAGAGCTAGTAAATAGCAGAATTAAGTTTTTTTTTTAAATCTAAAATGTGCCCTCTTTAGCTGTCTTTCCATTGAATAACTATCTGATAATTTATTTAAGCAATTATATGTGGTTAAACTTTTAGATTGTGTCCAGGTTTCAATTTTTAAAATACAAATGACACTGATAACAGTATCTCCCAGGGGTGCCTGGCTGGCTCAGTCAGAAGAGCATGTGACTCTTGATCTTGGGGTTGTGATTTTGAGCCCCAAACTGGGTGTAGAGATTACTTAAAAATAAATAAGTAAGTAAGTAAATAAATAAAAGAGTATTTCTGAGAATAAATCTTTGTATCACCAATAATTTTCTATGGTACATTTCAAGCAATAAATTCATTCACCGGGTCTCACCTAAGAAAATGTTCATATATTTTTCAATTCCATTACTCCAATTTTTTATTTTATCTCAGCAAAATAATGAGGTACAAAAGATTATGGTCAGGGGTATTCTTTTTCTTTTTTAATTTAATTTTATTATGTTATGTTAATCACCATGCATTACGTCATTAGCTTTTGATGTAGTGTTCCATGATTCATTATTTGTGTATAACGCCCAGTGCTCCAT